GCACCTGTGCGGGCAACTATGCAAAACAAATGATAATCTTACTGCGTTCACTGCTTTTAGGATTGTGCTCACAGTATATGCAGTATTTTATCACTAAAATCTACTACTTCACTTACATAAGTCAGTGTCAATATTACCTCACACTTGGTTCATATGCTGAGTCAATAAGTACATGTTTGGGTTCCTGGCGTAATTACGGCAAATTTGAGAAAAAGAAATAATAATCAAGTTTTTCTTTAAGAAAAAATCCCAAAATGCGAACAAGATGGGCAGTTAGATAATACCTAGTTTTCTAAGCATTTTAAGCTCCATTGTGTCTGTCTGTCTGTAATCTATTTAATATAACATATCTGTCCGCATGTGTGTCTGGTACGCCGACTACACGTAACTTGTGTACCAACACCTGTTCAAACTGAGTCGGGAACACACCACGTACAACTTATCTGCGTACCTACTGTGCCAAACATACACCCAGACCATGGACCATGCCCAGACTAACTTGTGTGCCTGCGTAATAAAGAATACTGATACTTGTTTGCAATGTATTGTTCTCTCGGTATGTACATGAATATATCTGTAGAGACGAGCACGAGTTCACTATATAACAGTAATGCCTTTTTTGAAAGAAATACGTAAATTGTGACGCCGGAATGTGTTGATGCAACTTGATGCGAAATCACCTCAAACTGATTTGATAGGTGAATCACAGTCCCTCAACACCCGGTTGGGAAACGCTATTGTTCTAAGGTGTTAATCCCCCGACCGCTGGTAACAGTGCGCGTTATGCTTGTGGAGTGAAGCCGATGACGTCATAGCATCACGGCGTCTTTCTGAATTTGAATTGTCTTCCGTTCTGCTCCAGTGAAACTTGTGCTGTTTTATACAGTTTATTCCGAAAATATTCCTAGATACGCGTGTAATAGTACTCGTAAAGACTTTCTGATAAGGTACGTGTAATTTAAAAGGTATATTCATTGAATTAATTTAAAAAATCGAGATTTCAATTTCAGACCGTCACAGTCACCACCGGTCATTGCAGAGTGGCGTGTTATGGCGACACTGTACAAAAAGTTTCAACCCTGTGAAAATGCGTTCCTATCGGTAAAACGACCAAATTCATCATATTTATGTAGTTTGATATTTAAATTGTTCCCCAATATAGATTATTTTGTGTAGACGCAGCATTAAGGGGTTCATTTCAGTCGGCTATTTTACCATTAGTTTTGCCCCGTAGATACTTGTATTCACCACGAATACAACCGAACTCGGCCAGATTTCAACTCGGCCAGGAAGGAAAAAAATGCACAACTCGGCCAGTCGCCAATTCCCGTGACTATTTTGTTGTCGATTTCAACAACGCAAGTTTACAAACACACACACACAAACGCTACTGGTTCTCCGACATGTTGTTGATTTCAACATTGGCTGAACATTGTCGATTTCAGTGACGCAAATTTTCTTTTCAAAGGAAAAACACAGACATTACATTGAATCACAGACATCACATCGGCGGCGACCGTCTATTTTTTTTTACATTTTACTGTGATATGACAAAAGACACAGCGCTGGCTGTTTCGTCACTGAAATCGACATCCCTTTTTTTATTAACAAAGCACGATAGGCATCACTGAAATTGACACCCTTTGACGCCCATACATTTTTTATATTTTGTTGTGATATGACTCTGACAGTCTGTAATACAGCGCTCGCTGTTGCATCATTGACACCCTTATGCACATATGCTGGCCGAGTACGGTCACTGGCCGTGATCGGTCATTGGCCGAGTAGAAATCTGGCCGAGTTCGGTGGTCACCTTCACCACGAAGCAAGATGTTGGTCGAGTACCGCTCGAAGAAAACGACTGTTCAAAGTTTTTTTTTTAAATATTGATGCCTAAGATTTTTGATGACCATCGATATATATGTTAGAAATAACTGAATCATTTTGGTGTTGTCGTATTCCGATATTCTTGTCAGAAAATCACTGTGAATTTATACCATACAAAATTTGTTGATGTTATTTCAAGATGGCGTTTCGAACGACCATAGTCGATGTTATGGTGCGAGTATCTGAATTTAGCAACCCTCCCAAACACACTTTTCCGACTTCAACTACTATTTTATTAGAATTAATATTAAGGTTGAAGTTCAAAAAAGTGCCCAATGCTGTTTTTATTATTGTTGTGTTAATTCTCAATTTGTTTTTTTCAGATCAAACTTAGATCGTGTTTGTAATTGTTATAGCAGTGATTAGAAATCTGGTATCAGTGGTGAAGCCATACAAAAGTTTGCCAGTATGCCATACAAATTAAATAAATGGAAACGCCCGAAAGGATACTATGCAAAGGTGCATGAGAAAAGGAAGCTATCTAAACAGTTAAAGGCAGAGGTAAATATTTTTTTATTTCAATTTTGATAAGTTACTACATGTATTTATATTTCATATTTTTAATAATGTTGTACATGGCCGAATACATGCCACATATAACCAGTTCTTGTTCATTAATAATTCAACCAGTTGAATAGCTATGCTCAATGAGCTATAACCCTGAGATCTTGCCAATTGCCAATTTGAGTCATTTGTCTTTAAATCCAGTTAGTGCAAGACATGACACAGTTTGTTGAGGAACTGTGGACATGGGAATTGTATATTGTCATTCATCGTATTTTCACCTGACATTTCATGTAAAAAATCTTGAGGCATTTTTTAATTTTAATTCAGCATTTACCTTCTGAATCCCTGCTAAGCGTGGGTTCAACACATAACTAATATTCAAAATATTGTTAATTTACAGGAACATACTAGTACCTGCATTTCCAACATATCAGATCTACAGAAACATGTTGGTCTTGTGACATTGCCATCAAATTGGTCTGTTCTAAAGTCGCCAACAGAAATCAGATTCAGCCAGATAGAGTTTATCGGGGATGAGTCAACAGTTTCCAGATGCGTTATGGTGGGGGAAGATTTAACATGGCAAGTGAAGCTTCATGGGCGATACATCCCCAAAAACCATTCCATCTTTGAAGGCATATCTTCTGCAGTTACTGATGTTGACATGGTCACAACTCTTATTAGTGAGGCTGTGAAATGCAAGATGTGCCCAGGAAACTTTGATCAATCATATATTGATCTAGTTCGAGGTAAAGGTGGGGAAATTGTGAAGGCCACTTCCTTGTCAGGGGAGAAAACCAGTTCAGACAGTAAAGTGAACCTTAGATTCCTTAGTCCCACAGAACTGAGGGAAAGAGCATCGAATCTACAGAAAGAGAAGATGACTTTAAAGCGGTCCTTGAGCAGAACTGTGAAACAACTTGTTTCATCTGAAGGGATTGCAATTGATGGGACATTACAGAGCGACTTTAAAGCTATAATGGAGGAAAACAATCATTCTGCCTATGAAGCACTCAGGAGTTCCGGTTTCGTGAAACTGCCTAGTCAAATTACATTAAGCCCAAACCAGGAATTAGTCAACCAGTGTTGAAGGAACTTATTTCAGAAATTGAGTGTCTTGGGTCATCAGAGTCAAATAAATATGTAGTACTACTTCATGATGAAATGAAGGTTAAGCAAGATCTCGTCTATGATAAGAACACTGGGGAACTGATTGGCTTCACCAACTTGGGTGATATAAATGAGGAGCTGATGAAGCTAGAGAATGGCTGTCACATAGAGAAGAATAAAGGTCTAGGACTTGCCAGTCATGTCTTGGTGCTAATGGTAAGAGGATTAGCATCTAGTTTACAAATGAGCCTGGGCTACTTTCCCACTGATGGTTGCAAGTCTGACAATTTGTATCCAATAATATGGGATACGATCACCTGGTTGGAAGTCACATGTAACCTAAAAGTAATGGTGTCCACCAGTGATGGAGCGTCATGGAACCGGAAGTTCTACCGTATGCATAGAGTAAAAGGTGCTCCGCGGGATATGGTGGTGTTCAAGACTAGAAATTTATGGAGTGATGATGAAAGATTCATTTATTTTGTGTCTGATGTACCCCATTTAATAAAGACTACCAGGAACTGCTGGGCCAATTCTGAGGCACATCGGAAATCCAGAAGTCTATGGGTATGTGCATATTTAATATAGTATATACCTTTCCATTTGATAAATTTGATTAAATCATAGACCACCTAATATTTAATTAAAAGTTGGACGGTCTACTTAATTCCTAATAAGATGTTTTT